TTGGCTCAATCTGGGAGGAGGGGACTGGACCTGCCTGGACTGAGTCTATCAGGTGGATCCCAGTCCTCGGGGGAGACCTTGATCTGGAGGAGGTGGGAATGGCAGGTGGGCTGAGGGGAAGGGGAGGGAGGCAGGAAGGGAGAGAACAAGGGAATCTGTGGCTATTATGTAGAACTGAATAGTATTGTAAAATAAAAAAATAAAATATAATATAAAAAAAATGAAGTCCATTTTCAACTTCATATGAAATCTTAAAAAGTGTAAAAAGAACAATTTAGGAAGAGTCATACTTCATAAATTCTAAACATGCTACCAAGCCACAGGCATCAATGGTTCTGACATATAGACAGATGCCAGGTAGGCCATGAGATAGAAGAAGGAATCCAGAAGTAAACTGCATGGTTAAGAGTACCAACTGCACTCAGTGAAAATGACAGTTTGCCACATACAGTGCTGGGAAAACTGATATCCCTAAACAGCAGCATAAAACTGAGACCTAGGCTTGGACTATTTTCAAAAATAGTTCAGCATGAATCAAAGAAATACAAGGGAGAACTGAATTATAAAAATATTAAAAGAAAACATAGGATTAAGCATACATGATAGCAAATTTAATATTGTGATTTTGAATTGGCCACAAAGACACAGTCAGAAAAGAAAATAATATGGAAAATTAGACGTAATAAGCATTTAAAGCTTTTCACATCACTTGGTGCAATTAATAAATACTCATAAAAAAAATGAACTGAATTGGCACTAGCAAGATGCCTTAATGGGTAAGGGTGCTTGTTTCCCCAAGCCTGATACCCTGAGTCAATCCTGGGAACATACATACAGTAGAAGGAGAGAACTGACTTTCAAAAGTTGTGCTCTGCCTTCATCCAGGAACTGATGGAAACAGATGCAGAAATTCACGGCCAAACACCAGGCTGAGCTCTAGGAGTCCAGTTGAAGACAGAAAAGAGAGATTCTATGAGCAAGGGGCATCAAGATATTGGTGGGGAAACCTACAGAGACAACCAAACCAAGCTAGTGGGAACTCATGAACTTTAGACCAACAGCTGTGGAGCCTCCATGGGACTAGACTAGGCCCTCTGCATAGTGAGACAGTTGTGTAGTTTGGTCTGCTTAAGGGGCCCCCTGGCAGTAGAATCAGGATCCATCGCTGGTGTATGAGCTGGCTTTCTGGAGCCTATTAGCTAAGGTGGGACACCTTGCACAGCCTTGAGGCAGGGGAAGAGGCTTGGACCTGCCTCTGCTGAATGTACCAGGCTCTGCTGACTCCCCAAGGGAGGCTTTACCTTTTTGGAGGAGGGAATGGGTGAGGGGTGCAATAAAGGTGCCCGCTCAGTCCCAAAAGTACATTGTACTGATTTCTGATGAGATAAAATGGTCAATGGTCTCCTTTCATGTGCT